CCAGAGATCTCTTGGTTCATGGATCAATGCTCAACCACTGAGCAACACTGGCTGGGTTGTGTCACTCTGTTTTGTGTTGTTTTTTTTCTTGGATCCCCTCAGTATTTAACAGAAAATCTGAAAGATAGTAGACATTCAGATGTTAGTGTGCAAGACTTGGGGGGTTGCTGGCTAGTCTGAAGGAGGACAGCTATTTTGATTAGTTTTTGTGGACTTACCCCATGACAATGGTCAGCATGCTGCTAAGATGATATGTTGTGTCTAGGTGATAGTTAATTGAAAGGTTTGACTGCATCAGGCATCCTCTGCTGAGTGCACAGGACTGTGCCGACTCTGCTAGTTAATCATTGCCATTTCTAGTTTTTCAGTGATGCCATGCTATGGAGGTCACCAAGAGAATTGTAAAAACAAACTGAAGAGCTAATGTCCACTGACAGGTACTGACAAGGACATTTAGAAGTATATAGAAGCTCTAATGAGTCACACCTGTCTCTTCAGCTAGGTGAGAAACTATAAGTAAAATGCAAAATATGGTAGGAAACATAGATCGGATCCAGGGTTTCCAGTCTCTGAATGAAGTCTGATGAGTTACTACGACTATCAAGATAGCATGGATCCATAGTTCCAGAAGCTGAAAGAATTAGGTTAGCCCCTATTTTAACTAGACTTCAATTGGATTGAATTGGATTCATAAAATAGATAAATCCTATGGTACACTGATTTCAACAGAATAGAAGTTTATTATTGTCTCATGTAAAAGACAATGAGAGGTAGGCAATCCAGAGAGATTTAGTAACACACCGAGGTCATATAGTTTGGTGGTAGTTTTAAATGCATCATCTGAGAGGTTAAGAGGATAACAGCACCTACTTCATAGAGCTATAAGGAATCAGTGCTAGGAAACATGTAAAGTACTTAGAAAATGCTTGGCACATAGGAAGTGCTTAGTAGGTGTGATTTATTAATGTGAAGGAGCCACAGATGAATCATGTGGTTGTATAACTAACATCGTGATAATTTACCTGGAGGAAGGATGCAGGATACTATGAGGGTATAATAGGGGCTTCTGACCATACTCTGGGGAACACTCCCTTGAAGAACTGACACCCCCACTGCCTGAATGAAGGATGAATAGGTGTTAACTGGGTGGTTGGGTGGGGCTCCTTCTGGTCAGAGAGAACCAACCTGTCCAGAATTGGGAGTACGGGGGAAGGAATGAGAGGAGGCTTTGTGTCTGGATTTCAGAAGATGAGGCTGGAGAGAGGGGAGGAGCCAGAAGGACATGGTAGGGATTTTCGTGTATAACTGAAGAGCCATGGCAAGCCGCTGAGGATGAATTGGTGGAGGAGGGAGTTATGGCGCTTGCATTTCTGCCTAGTGATCTGAGCCAGACTGGTAGTTTCTGACCTCTGTGAGGCTGATAATTGGGATGGGAGGCAGTTGCCTTGATGTATCTCTGTTCCCAGAGTGGGGGTGAAGCCCAAATCGGTTTAAGAGATCTTCAGGCTGCATTCGGTAATACATTAAATGTCAGATAATTAGGTGGAAGGGAAATTTATTTTGACTCAGACTTTCTCACCTACACAAAAGTATTTCAATAGCCCTAAACCAGAGGAGAAAACATATGGCTAATCTAAAAACTTTTATATTTGGCTCTGGAAACCACAAAGTAAATGACCCAGTGGCAGGGTCACATGTGTGTCCTTATTCCTGCACTAATCACTTACTGAAATTCACACTGAGCCCCTTTGGGCTCCGCTCAGGGTCTGGTCCTACAAGGTGAAAGGAGGGTGGGCCCACTTGGAGTGACTAAGCATTACTACGTTATGTGAGAGTGGATGGCTTACGGTCATTGCAACTTATATAAAGACCCAGGTTGGAGCTTGTTATTGTTACAGATAGTTTTCTGTAGGTAAATAATTCTGTTGACCACCATTATACAGATAGGAACACACCCTGTGACAAGAGCACATAAACATTAATTAATTTTTCTATCAGAAGAAAAAACAAGCGATCCATTAATAAGACCAGAGTAGGAATTACATATTACCAAATATGTAACTATAGAGTCAATCCACCTTAACTTTTTTTTGTAGAGAGTCTGTCCTTTAAATAAGCATAGAAGTGGAACATACAACATATCCCAAGTGCCAAAAATATTATTTTCCTGAAGCTCTGCAGGAGAGAGTGGGTGTGGCATTAATTCAGAGAGGTGCCCTCTGCTTCTTGCAGACAGAGAGAAGGGCTCACTTTAATGTACAACCAGGTAGCAGAGAAGATGGAAGGATGAGGATTGGAGAGAAGAGAAGGCTGCAAAGTCATTCCGCTATAGCTGCTGCCTTTTGAAAAATACAAATTGTATTTTGAGCAAACACATCACACCCTTGTAAAGGTATCAGATTCCTGACAGGGCAGACATGTGCCCCTCCCCTACCACTGGCCGAATCTTATCTCCTTAGCATGTGTGAAAGTCCATTTCATTTTTAATCAGGAACCTATAGAATTAAACTTTGTGATTTAATCTTACCTCATAGAAAAATTAATGATAATTAAAAATTATTCTAAACATTAAAAAATCTTCATGCGCATTTTTGTTATATTATAACGTGGGCATTAAGATGTTACAGGGGGAGATTAAAGATAGTGGCAGACTGAGTGGAAGTTACACTGACACTCTCCTGGGACCAAACTGGAATTACAACTAAAGTATAAAAAAACCATCCTGGATAACAAACTGCAACTGAAGACGAGCTGGAGAGCACCCTCATAACCAAGGAGGAAATGTGGAGACCACATAGAGACTGGTAGGAACTGTGGAGGTGTGAGAGGGCTGGCGGGGCTCCCACAGGCAGCAGCTGAAGGTCAGGAGGGGTATCTCAGCTGTGGGGGGTTCCCACTGAGGACTCTAGGGCCTAAACCCCAGGCTGGGCTTCCCAGCCAAGAGTACCAGAACTGAGAAAGGTGCCCACATAATATCTGGCTGTGAAAAGCAGCCAGGTTTCTATCTGCCAGGGAGAGATGGCTGGAGTTGCAGGCACCCTCTTAAAGAGCCAAAGCACAAAGTTTCATGTGTAGCCACTCACCTTGGGGTCCAGCAGAGGGAGGGCAGAGTGGACTGGAGCTGTGTGTGCAGAATCTAGGGTTGTGGGCTCTGGAAATAGAGCTCAGAGGACACCCCTCTGGATTCCTGGGCCAAGTCATTCCCCCATACTGCAGAGGACATCTTTCTCAGGCAGACATTTACCTTCCAAGCAGCTTTTGCCTGAGGGGGAAGCAATTGCCCTACCCTGCTGGAAAACCATTTGTCCCTACCCTGTGGAGTTTCTACAACCTGAGGCTCAGGAAAAGAATNCCCTGCTAGAAATCTCTCACTCTACTCTGTGGAGTTTCTATAGCCTGAGGCTCTTTTAGAGAATCAGATTAATAAGCCTGCAGGCAGAGGCAGACTTCAGAGTGCTTTGAGTCTTTTCCTGATCTCCTCTGGGACCCGGGCCTTGGAAAAGCAGACTTTGGTGAGCATCTTGGTTCTGTCCAAATGCACCCAGCTCCATCAGAGGGGACTTCAAGCCTTGGGTTGTTGATAGTTCCAAACAGAGTACTCAAGGCTAGTCACAAACAGCTTCTGATACTGGCCTGCACCAGAGACAGTCCAAAAAAACAATTAAAAAACAGGAAGATAGTTTAAGGGAGCTGTGAGTCAACATGAAACGTAACAATATCCACATCATAGAAATGCCAAGAAGTAGGATTAAGTTTACTTGATTGGATCTAGTTGATCTAATCATTTGGGGTCACAATGTGGATGGAGCCAAATGTGGGTGGAGTTCATGTCCCAAGGACTATAAAAAGCCAGAGTATCTGAGCTCAAACACACTTCAGAAAGAAGTGAAGGCCAGGAGAGGTGGAGGTGAGAGCTCAGACCTTCAGTGCCTTCACCACCTTCACTGAAAGTCCCTATATCAAGGTTACTGATCTCTTCTGTCTGGGCTGTTTCTGCTGTCCCATTCCTTTCTCTTTGGCCACAATTTATCTTTCCAATGCCTTTACCTTTGGATTTCAGGAGAGAAAGAATCCATCTTAACCTGTTTCAGGGAACTTTATTCACTTTCCATTTATTCACTCACCATTTTCAATTTCCTGTTAAGAAGTCAGTTTTTTTTGGAAATGGTGATAGGGGATTTGAGGAAGAGGGTTATCTCTGTTGCCACTCAACCTGGCCCCATCAGGAAATAGGAAGCTTCCAAAGACTCCGTATTGCACCTGGGCATGTATCCTGTCTATGCTTATACACTTTGTATCCCCAGAGTCTAGCTGGGGCTGGAAGCATGGAAGGCTAATAAGTATTTGTTGGGTAGAAATGAGTTCCAGGATGTTCTAGTAACTCAGTTTTTTGTCCTTAAAATTGATTCTATAATGGGCATATTATTTATTTTGCAGTGGTTTTGACTAGTTTTGCTCACATATGGTAATTTTCTTTGAAATTTTGAGGGCTCCAAAATTTCATCACTTTTCTGTGATGAGTAGGGTAGGATTGGCTTTATTTTTATGATTATATCTAAATGTAGAAATCATTTTTCTTGAACTGCAGGTGACCTACAAAGGAATATTAACTAGGGGCAGAGACTGCTCTCCTAGATCCCATTAAAGACCCAGTTGGACTCAGTTCCCGAAGACAAGACTTCACCTATAAGTCTCCAGATAAGGTAAACTGTCCTACCTGAAAAGATAGTGTCCACTGTCCTATTTCTTTCTATTGTGACCACCTTGATTTTGGATAGTTTTCATAGTTTTCTTCACAGATTATGCCTTTATTATGATTCTCTGGTGACTCAGCTTCACTTTCATGTATCAATTATAGAAAAATTCATATTATTTATTTTTTGTATTGGACTTAGGTACATCCTGATGGTTGAAGAGCAACTGTACTGAGGCTCTTGATCACTCCCAGAAGCTAACAAAGGGCCATTTTAGTTCAGTTTACTGCTAAGGAGTGAGAAACCATGCTGACAAGTCTGCAGGAAGAGGCAATCTGTCCAATTTGTCTTGGACTTTTCTCCAATCCCATTTCTCTCTCTTGTGTGCATGTTTTCTGCTATCATTCCATTCAGATTTGGCTACTGAAAAGGAAGGATCTGAAATTGATCTGCCCCATATGTCGAGAAGTAACCGAGAAACCACCTTTGGAAGAATTGCAAATTAAGTCACTCACTTTTTCCATCAAACAGCACAGTTTCCTACTGGAGCAAAGTCTGTGCCTGAGAGGTGAGTTTCAGAAGTTTAGGGAGGATATGACCCTGGATGTAGCCACCGCAAACACCCGCCTAGTCCTCTCTGATGACCTAAGGAAAGTCCACTGTGGGTAGATCTGCCACAACCCGATGGAGGATCCCCATGGCCTGCGTCCTGGGCACCCCGTGCTCCTCCTCTGGTCGCCATTACTGGGAGGTAGAAGTGAAAGCGGGGAAGGAGTGGGCTCTGGGAGTCTGCAAGGAATCAGTTGACAGAAAGAGGAAGAGTGGCTTTTCCTGTGAGCATGGCTTCTGGATCATCAGCATGAGGGCAGGAGCAATCCACTCCAGTTCCATCTCAGAAACCAGAATTCCTGAGAGCCCTGGCCTTAGCCACATAGGGATTTTTCTAGATGTTGACATGGAAGAAATCAAGTTTTTTGATGTTAGAAATGATGTTCTCATCTATATGCACAATAATTTATTTTTGGAGGCTTTGCGTCCGTTTTTCTGTCCCGAATTGCCTGAAGGAGAAGACAGTGGTGGCCCACCGAGCATCTGCTTGTGAGAAATTCACAATGTTCTTTCTGCCACAGAATTCTTGGACTAAATCCATTAAGTACCTATCCTAACCTGCCTCAATTGGTATAACTGACTGAAACTATGGCAAGGTGAGGAAAGGGAACTCAAAGAGGCCATGGAAATATGAGGAAAGAAAAGACCTGGGCTGACCTCCAACCAAGGCTAAACAGAATCAGAGCAACTCAATCCTACCCACCAGGATCAGAAAGGGAATGTTTGAGGGGACTGAGAGAAACTTTCATGGACCCTAAAATCTCTGTTTGGGAGGGAGACTACCCTCCCACCCTCACAATCCTAGAATGTAGTTGATTTGAATGACTGACTATATTTGACCATAAAGCCCATGTGATGTAAGTGGGCTGGACCAATGGTTTTCAGTTCTGGCTTCTCATTACAAGCACATGAGGGAACTTTGAAAAATACCTACATCCATAACCATACCTTGAACTAATCAAATTAGAATCTCTGGGGATGGGTCACAGACAGTGGTACTTTTCCAAGTTTTCTAGGTGATTTCAATGTGCATCCAGAAGTCCACAGATGAATTCAGCAAATCTGGAATGGGGCTCAAGAATTTGCATTTGCAATAAGTTCCCAAATGATACCTTTGGGGACCACACTTTGAAGCTAGTAGACTAAAGGACAGTGTATTTTAATTTTAATTATTGTATTAAGTCAACAAATTAAATTTTAATAGATTAATTTTAAATTAATTTTGTTTTCATTATAATGCAGTTTAAATGTCTGCATTAAAACAAACAACCCTTGGAACAATCGAAGAGAAGGGAGGGAAGAATGAGGAAGATGGGTGGTCTTAGGTGGGATTAGTTCAGTGTGTTAACAGAACACAAGGCATTAAGAACATTCTTGTCTACTACCCTCTCCCACTTCCCCACGTCGATCACAAAATTTCCATCATCAATTCTAATACCCTGATCATACCCAAAAGTGTATAGTATTAAAATGATCGCTCACTTTGATGACCCAAGTCTGTGTTCTTAATATTTGTTCTAGAATTTTCTGTAAGTAAAAGGTCAGTTTTGCCCTGGCTGGTGTGCTAAGTGGTTAGAGAAGGGTTGTAGGTTCAATTCCTGGTCAAGGGCATGTATCTGGGTTACAGGTTCAATCCTCCATCCTGGTCAGAGAGTGTCTGGGAGGCAACCAATTGATGTGTCTCTCACATAACTGTTTCTCTCTCTCCCACTGCTTCCCTCCCTTCCACTCTTTCTAAAAACCAATGGAAAAAAATATCCTCAGGTGAGGATTAACTGCAAAAAATAAACAAACACCAGCTTTTTTTCTTAGGAAGCAACCAGGAAAAAATGGTGAAAATTCTGCTTCTTAAAGGTTACTGTTTTTGAATAGCCCTTAAGTTTTGTCTTAGAGTTTGGTGAATGCTGATGACCCTAGGATATTCACCCTTGTGTTCTGTGTCCTGAGTGCCCTGCTTCTGCTCTGGCCTTTGCTGGGGGGTAAAAGTGGGAGAGAGGAATGGGCTCTGGGCCTCTCTGCTGGGCCTCTGATAACAGAATCCTTTAAGGACATTAGGTCACACAGGCCAGAATTTCTGTCAGCCATCTCCTCTAGGTGGGAATTTTCCTAGATACCGAGTTGAGGAAAATGCTGTTTTGTGTGTGTGTGTTTGAAATTTTGGTTTTCTTTTTCTTTTCTTTTTAAAATATGTTTTTATTGCTTTTAGAGAGAGAAGGGAGAGGCAGAGAGAGAAACATCAATCGGCTGCCACCTGCACGCCCCCAAAACTGAAACTGAAACCAGGCATGTGCCCTGACTGGGAATCGAACCAGCTACATTTTGGTGCATGGGAGGACACTCAACCAGCGGATCTTTTTTGATGTTAGTGATGATTCCCTCACAACACAGTTCAGCCAGGAGGAGGCAACATTGAAACCCCATCGAGCATCTGCTTTTCTCTCTCCAAAGTACTCTGAACATAGTGCTATGAATGCAGTGGTTTTCCATTTTCGGGATGACTGACAGGATATGTGTGATGCATCTTAAGCCAAATCCTGGATATTAGATGTTGAGGTTTTATGAAAATCTCATAACCCTTCTAGCTCACCTTGATCCCAGTTCACGACCCCCAGCCTGTAGCCATTGCTTTTGCCTTGACCACCTTGCTGCCCATAAAGAAAGACAGTTTCCTTTCCTTCCCAGGAAATTCAAGAAACTCACTTGCAGAAAACTCAAATTCTTACTTTTTATGTAGGGAAATTAGGCCTCTGTCTCTACTTTCTCAAGAGAGAGAAGCTTCTTCAGTCAGTTGTGGTTTCAAATAGTACCGCTCTTTTCACCAATATTCGAAGGGCTTAAATTATTTTTTGTTCATTTTTCTTAATTTTTTTCCTTAATCATAAATTGAGGTAGGCTGCTTTGATCAAGGTGTTTTGTATTGGCTGAAAGGGTGTTTCCATGGAGAGCAAGTGGGAGTGGCTGTCAGTGAGATAATGGGAGAAGGGGCCAGGAAGAGAATTGGTGCTGAGCAGTGGGTGCGGTGTGGGGAGTGCACCTGGGCTGGATGAAGGCCAGGCCTTGTGCAGAAAGAGGACTTGAGGTAGAAAGATGGTAATTTATTGACTTATGCTGATTAAGTTGAAGTTCTTTCTTAGTTCCATGTGAAAACCAAACAATAGACACTGAAAATGACAAAACAATAATTATTTTCTATTTTTCCAATAAAAAACCCCCCACAAGCCCTTAGAAAACAAGTACTAGGCCCCAGCCGGGCGTGGCTCAGCAGTTGAGCGTCGACCTAGGATCCAGGAGATCGGGGTTCGATTCCCGGTCAGGGCACATGCCCGGGTTTCGGGCTCGATCAATGATTCTCTCATCATTGATGTTTCTATCTCTCTCTCTCCCTCTCCTGTCCTCTCTTTGAAATCAATAAAGATATATTTAAAAAAAAAAAAAGAAAAAGAAAACAAGTACTAGAAGAATAGGTTTAAAATGTAAAATAGACCCTATTATACAATGCTCTGGTTAACAAATGATCCATGAATCAGAAACAAATAATGTTTCAAATAATTGAAACATTGATTGAACATTTACTGTGTGCCAGGCACATAATTCATTGTGTACATGAATTATTTCATTTAATCCTCACAAAAGTCATAGGGGGTGTGTGCTCTAAAACCCTTATTTTAATAATCTGGAAAAGGAAGTAAAAAGGTTAATAAAGCTTAAAAGGATTAAAGGCAGGGGTGGGGGAGTGGGTGGAGTGAGAGTAATCAAAGAATTAAATGCATAAATGCATAACCGCATGGACACAGACAATAGTTTGGAGAAAGCCTGGGGGTGGGGCAGATGCCAGGTAGAGGGGATCAATGGGGGGAAAAAGGAGACATCTGTAATGCTTTCAACACTAAAGATAAATTAAAAGAAAAAGGATAGATGTAATTCAGAAAATACAAATAACAAAATATTAGTACTCTCATTTAAAATAACCTTTCCTCTGAGATTCATCAGTCTATTCAATGCTTCTGTGTCTCTGGATCTATTTAAATGTAAAGTTTCAAACATACACATAAGATAGCATTTTAAAAAATTATCTTTATTGTTGAAAGTATTACAGGTGTCCTCTTTTTCCCCCATTGGTCCCCTCTGCTGTGCTTGCCCTGGGGTTTTAACACATTATTGTCTGTGTCTATGGGTTGTGCATATATGCAGATAAGTTCTTAGGTTAATCTCTCCCCACCCCCCTAACCCTTCTTTCCCTCTGAGATCCCTCAGTCTGTTCCAGGCTTCTGTGTCTCTGGATCTATTTTGTTCATCAGTTTATTTTGTTCATTAGATTCCACATATGAGTGAGATCATGTGATACTTGTCTTTCTCTGACTGGCTTATTTTGCTTAACATAATACTCTCCAGTTCTATCCATGCTGTCCCAAAGGGTAAGAGATCCTTCTTTTTTAAAGCTGGATAGTACTCCATGGTGTAAATATACCAAAACTTATTTATCCACTCATCTACTGATGGGCACTTGGGCTATTTCCAGATCTTAACTATTGTAAATTGTGCTGCTATGGACATAGGGGTGCATAAATTCTTTCTGGTTGGTGTTTTGGGTTTCTTAGGATATATTCCTAGAAGTGGGATGATTGGATCAAATGGCAATTCCATATTTAATTTTTTGAGGAAATGCCACACTGTTTTCCATAGTGGCTGCACCAGTCTGAATTCCCACCAGCAGTGCCCAAGGATTTCCTTTTCTCCACATCCTGGCCAGCCCTTGTCATTTGTTGATGGAGCCATTCTAACAGGTGTGAGGTGGTACCTCATTGTGGTTTTAATTTGCATCTCTCTGATGATTAGTGACTTTGAGCATTTTTTCATATGTCTCTTGGCCATCTGTATGTCCTCTTTGGAGAAGTGTCTATTTAGGTCCTTTGCTCATATTTTAATTGGATTGTTTATCTTCCTTTTAAGTTGTCTGAGTTCCTTATATATTTTGTATGTTAACCCCTTATCAGATGTATCATTGGAAAATTTGTTCTCCCATATAGTGGGCTTACTTTTCATTTTGTTGATGGTTTCTTTTGCTGTGCAGAAGCTTTTTATTTTGATGTAGTCCCCTTTGTTTATTTTCTTTTTTGTTTCCCTTGGCCTAGGAAGGTTATATTGATAGGTACTTATTTATTGCCATTTTAATTCTTTATGGCTATGTTTCTCTCTCTATTTCTTCTTATTATAGTAGCCCCTTTAACATTTCTTGCAATGTTGGTTTGTTAGTGATAAATCTTTTAGCCTTTTTTTTGGTCTGGGAAGCTCTTTATTTCACCATCTATTTTGAATGATAGCTGTCCTGGATAGAGTAGTCTTGGTGTCAGATCCTTGCTTTTCATTACCTTGAATACTTCATGCCATTCCCTTCAGGTCTGTAGAGTTTCTGATGAGAAATCAGCTGACAGCCTTATGGGAACTCCTTTGTAGGTAACAGATTGCTTTTCTCTTGCTGCCTTTAAGATTCTC